CAGAAGGAAGCTTTGGCCTTTTAAGATAATTTAAGTGAACACACTGGCTGAGTCATTCTGATCAATTTCAGCCTCATCGAACCCATTTAAAATCCATTAATCCACTAATTTAATTGCATATGTATATGGTCATGAAATCAATAGAAGACAGCATTTCAGCCAGTTTTTATGAGTAACATCCAACACTGGTGGAAAATCACACTGGCACGACTGCCTTTGTGAAAGTTGTTTCTGCCATTTTAACCTCTCCGTTCATCACGAGTGCAAATCACAGCATCTGCCTCAGCACTGGCTTTTATAGTGGGTGAGCTTTGTTTGGTAAAGAGCAACAGGTGTCAGGGAGCAAGTCCACGTGACTCGGCAGGTTCTTTAAGAAACGTGACTTTTTGCTAACAAAAAAAAAAAAAAAAGGATTTAAAAAAAATACTCATAATAATTAACCAGCTAAGAAAAACATGGAAATATGATAACCTGAGACGAGTAAACCCCAATATATTAATATGCAATAGTTCACAGATCAGTGCATTGATCACAGAAAAACTATAATTCTTGTCCTTGTTCATATCCTTTGGGAAAAAGGATAAATTCTAAGTGCTTCATGAGTGATTTAAATGTTTCAGCATTCTTGTAAATTTTATACTATATCTAGTTTTGTGGGGGTGCCTAAATTTATGTAAAATTATGTAGCTTAGATTTTTTGGATGAGTCTTTTTATTTCCCTTTGGACACACCTCCCCACACCTGTTGCTGATTACTACTCAGCCAGCATGTGAAGCTGTGCTCCAGCTCTGGTTAGACTCATGCTGATCAAAGGGAGTTGAAATATCTGCTTTTTGTTTTTTTGACTATGAGGTTTATCTTGGGTTTTGGGGGCTTTTTGTGTGATTCATGCATCACGTCATGTGCAGGAGACTCATCATTTAAGTTTGTACTGATATTCCAGGCTGTGTGGTAAACAAAGCCGTTAACTGACACTCTTGCCATTCCTGCTCCACAGTGCTCATTTCTAGTCCAGGTCTTGCAAGACTGTCACCCCACTTGAGTCCCGAGCAGAAAAAACTACTGAATCACTAGTGTGTGAGCAATTTGTTTACAAGCTCAGGGGCCTCCATGGTGCAACTTGAAAAAGGCAGAATTTTAGTATATACTGTTTTGCACATAGAGGTCTAGCTGTACCTCTAGTGAAGAAAATGAAAACTCGTAGCAGCTCTAAAGATGAGTCAGTTTTAAAGACCTATGACTATCTCTGGCAATTTTAGGTAAAAGACATATGGTGAACATTTTGGCAAAACAGGACCAAACTGTCAAATAGTGCTGCACAGTGAAAATCATGGAGCAAATCAAGCTGCACCGGTTTTTCTAAAGTTGATATTCATCTTGGATAAGTAAATCTACACCCACCATAACACCCACTATAGCCAAGTGTTACCATGGAGCACTTAGGGAATTGATCTGTGTGGGACTTGTGGATGATAATGATGTTTATCTTGTCAGAAAACTGATTAAACTTGAGTGCTCTGCAAGCCTTCAATTTACCTTCACATTTAAAATTGTATGCAGTAAACACAACCCCAGTCAAAATGAAGTGAAGGCTTGCAGCACAAAAAGAGGTGAGGCAGGGATCGCAGGTGGCACAGTCTAACTTACTTGTCTGAGAAATGCCAATGTTCCCAAAGCCACTTAAGAGGGAGGTTTGAGCACTATACTCCACCTGAGGGTATAATGGTATTGTTTAACTTGTCGTGTAATGACAGCTTTCGGGCACACGGCGGCACTTGAACCTGAACCTAAGCAGATGAATGCAGCGCTGAGTGGTGATACCTGCAGAGAATTATATTTTACTAGGAGTATATAGAGGACAGCCAACTTTGGATCCAAGTCATGCATTATGAGTGTGTGTTTGTGTTTGTGTGTGTGTGTGCATCCCCTTCATGTACATAAACAAGTCAGTCACACTTCAGTCACACCATGATGTGATGGCCTCGATAACATGGCAGAGTAAATCATTGTTACACATTTTAATCTATATTGATTTGGAGTCTTGCATTTTATAGTACAGGGGAATGTTTTCTTAACCACATAATCATAGTAACATTAATACTATTAAAATACCATTTACTATTGAACACTGAAAACTGAGCGCTTACACGAAACCTGACACTTATTGATGGGGAGAATTGAAATTGATACCACAAAGTATAATTCTTCGGCACAGATGAAAGCTAACAGCATGCGGGATGTTTGAAGGGGATGAAGAGGGCGAGATGGGAGTAGCATGCTGATGATTTAGCGCCGGTGCATCGACCAGACTGTATAAAGTGAAGATAATCCCACGGTGATAAAGCCAATCAATCGTGCCTCCTCTGCACTCGCACATGGTCGGATTCTCCTTGTTGTAATAAAATAAACAATGGTCTCTTTGTCAGGTGTCTGCAGAGCGCTGTGGGTGCGCTGAATGGCCTGTGTAAAAATCAATCAGAATCCAATGGCAGAACTGTGTGGGCTTTCATAGATGGATGGGTGAGCGTGTCAACATATGACAAACTTGGTTGCTGTCATATAACACGCTTGTGTAACATATGTGCTCAGCTTACATTGCATCAACCTGGAGGCCTATATGTGAGCATGTATGTAATATGTGTCCGTGCATGAATGCCTACGCCTTCATTAGCCATGCAAACATGCACATGTGCCATATTTGTGTGGGTGTCTGTGTGTGGGTGTGCATGCGTATATCTGAATGGAGATGATCGGCCTTTTGCTCAGACAAAGTAATTGGGTCACATGTGTGAACAGCAGTCAAGAAGGATTTTAATCAAACTTAAGAATCCCCCAATGTATGCCCCCCTCGGCAATCAATTGCTATCCAATGGGGATTAATGGTAAAGACTGCAGCTAACTCTGTATTAAAGAAAATACAATTGTGGTGATTTCTGTATCTCAGGTACTGTACCTGTGTTCATAATGAGCAAATTCACCATGTTGAGATTAGTGTGAGTAGTCTGTGGGAAGCACAAAAGAGTGTTCAACCATCTCCACCTCACATGTCTCTCTCCCCCACTCTTTATAGTGCTTTGTCTAGTAGGTAAATAGGAGCCAGGCACTGTGAGTGATGAGTTTATTAGCTCCCGCCAGCTGTGACCAACCCTTGGGTATTATTGGCAGGGTGGCTGTGCTCGGTGTGTGTGTGTGTGTGTGTGTGTGTGAGTGATGTTGTCAGGGTGGGGCTATGTGCAGGGCAGGGGGAGTCCGAGACGAGGGAGTACCCCATGAGAACCAGAGAAATTCCCTGGCAACCGCAGACAGGATCAACACTAAATGGGGCGCCCCCATTCATCTAGTACTGAGCAACAACACAGAGCCAAAGTGACAGAGCTTGAGGGAGAGGAGGGGAGGGGGGGGTGGGGGGGGACTCCTGTGTGCAAATATCTGAATGAGAGTAAAAACAATTGGGATCCGGTCAGCAGGCGACTTCCTGCTTTGCACCTTCTCAAATTATTCTGCACAGATGTTAACACACAGGTTCAAAGTGTCCCTGAATGCGTCACAACACTCACTCACATTAACAGTGTCTGACCTGACAGAAAAAATGGAGAGAAAGAGGGAACACGTGAAAACATGTTGGTGTTTAAGTTCACTTCTAATCTCCATTAAGAATTGATAACTGTGGGAGCAGAAGATATGGATCAGAGAACATCTTCAACCGCTGGAGTGCACATGTGCAAACACAGCTGCACGCGCGCGCACTTGTGCACCTACACCGAACTCTTTGATGTTAATTGCCGCAGTGTCATTCACCGATGAGTCAGTGGTTCGCAGAGGTGTCTGTGGGGCTTTTAAATGATGGGTGCGTGCGTGCGTGAGTGTCCTCGAGCCCCGCACCGGATCCTCCAGGGAGATCCAAAAACACCACAGTGGTAAGACTGCCACACCCTTTCTAGAGTAAACAAAGGCTGAGACATCTGAGCCAGCATCCCTGGAAAGATGGAAGTTGAGGGGGGGGGGTCAAACAAACGCATCTGATGGTATTTACAGAAGCACGAGGCGTGTCTGACGGCGAGCTTAATATTATAATTACACTGGATTTGCCTCTCGCTTATAAATGAGAGGTTATCTCCGAAACCGCCCCCTCGCTTTTACGCACACATGCGCAGGCCGCGTTTACTCCACATACCCACAAACACACATACGCACACATACACACACACACACACACATTCCAAAAATGTACCCCTTTGTCTTGGTCGCCTCTCGGTGGTAGCCCCGAAACAGGAATTCAGCAGGGAGAGGAAGGGAGAAGTGTGGACCAGACTGTCTCCTCCCCCAACCAGAAGCGCACACACCACACTCTCTCCTCCCTCCCCCCCCCTCTAAACCCCCCACCACCACCACCACCGCCACCTCCTCCACCCCCCACGCCTTTGTGTGTGTATGTGCGCGCTGTAAAGCTGACTGCGTACCCGAGAACCGTGAGACGGATGCTTTGCATAGAAAAAATAATCTTATTTTTTCTCTTGTTTGTTTTGGAATTTCACATTCATCCGTGTTCTATATTCTGGAGTAAATAAGAAAACCAGCAGGTGCTAAGGAAGGGGAGGAACCGGGTGGACAGCACGTGAATCTCTCACTTAACCAGAGCCAGGAAATAGGAAGGAGAGGAACGCGTTACCAGCAAGTGCAGCAAATTGGACTTGCCACCATCAGCAACCCTCCTCTCTCTCTCTCTCCCTCCCTCTCTCTCTCTCTCGCCATCCCTGCTCCTCTTCTGTAGGTCTCCCCACTTACTCCCATCCAACCTCTTTCCCCCAGTCTCCCTCAGTAATCCCCTCGCACCGGAGCGCTCTCTGAATAAAAGTGGTGGGGCTTTTTTTTGCTGGATTTCGGGGAGACTTGGTTAGACGCCGGAGATGGATTAAAGGGACGGTGCACCGCAAAACTGGAGCAGCACGCACGACCACGCCGGGGGGGAAGGGGGCGACGGGACTCGGTGAATTCACGGAGCCCCCGGGACAGAGGTGAGTGCTCTGGCTTGTCCGGTGGTATCGTGGCTCTCTCTCTCTCTCTCTCCCTCCAGCATGCAACCCTCTATTCCTCCTGGCGCTGTAACTGAGAGGCGAGCGAGGAAAAGAATCAGCACATGGTCTTCGCGTTTCCATAATTGATGATCTCATACGCAATCTGCTGATTTCTGCTTGTGGTGAAGTCACAGCTAGGTTATCAATAGTCTATACATTATGTTGTTACGTATTGATCCAGTGGCTAATAAAAACTATAACCTACGATAGATGATGGTCTTGAGAAAACAGCAATTAAAGCAAATGAACTATCTGAACTATTTTCAGCAGTAGCTGTGAGGGCAGTTGAGTTAATTTGCGACACCCCCCCACCCCCCACCTACCCCGTCCACATAAAGCCGAACATATGGCCCTGTATGTGTCTGTGGCTGCTGAGGGCCCTGCAGTGTGTGGCTTTTTTCTCTCAATAGCCAGCACAGTAACTTTCTCGGTGAAAGGATGAGTACTTGGTGAATGGAGGAAAAAAATGGATGAGCCATAGCTACTGTTACACTTCATGTTCTCCTCATTAATTCATTTTCAAGTTCATGTTTGTGAACCAGGGGTCAAAAAAAAGAGCAGTAGCGCCTATTCATTCTGCATTCTGATTTTACTGCTTAGTCAATGGCCTGCTGGGAGATCCATCTTAGTGCTCTATAGGCGATATAGCACAAGCACACTATACTATCTTAATATGGTAAAAAACTGTGTCTGTACAGACTCAACAAAAACACATAATTTTAGGAACTACGTGGGTTCTTTAGTTCTGATCCATACTTATGAAAACGTAAAGAATGTATTTCCTTGAACGCAACACATTCTTCAGAACATCTTAATACAATGGCACCATCACACGCCGTATTTGACATTTAATAAACAGACAGGCTAAAGAAAGATTTACCTTTTATCATCAGAAGACGTAACAAGCAGAACAAGTCTAAAGTTCCAACACTATTGTACCCTGCTGCTGCAACTACTTCTTATTTTCATTATCAAGTAATCACAATTGATTAATCAGTTGTTTTTAAAATATAAAATAATGAAAAATGAATCAAGAGTCTGAAACGCAAAGATATCAGGTGTCCTATAAAATAACAAAAAAGAAAAGCAGCAAATTTCCATAATTAAAGCAGCTTAAATGATGAAGAATTATTGAAATAATCGTGATTAGTTTACTGCCTTTTGACTAACTGATTAATCGTTTGATCGTTCCAGCACTATACGCTGTGCTAAACTACGCTCATGTGCTATATCTGCTAAAGTATGTCTCATACACCCTCACCTCCACCCCTGCATTGGTGGTCAGAGAGTCTTGTATCTTCCTTGCTGTCTGACAAACTGACAGATTGTTTCTGTCCACCGCAGGCTATACAACCCACATCATTCACACACACACATACACACGTGCACACACAAACACATAGCCGTGCACGGATGAGATGTACACACAGACCGCTTAGACTATACACACACGCAAAGACTTCCTTGGTGTTTGTGCGCACAAGCAGACAGCAGCTCAGACTACAAACATTTTGCAGTCACACTCACACACACACATATGATGTGCCCCAGAGGACAAATGCTGGTGTGGTAGATAAACAGAAACACCCTTTCTTCCTTAAAGAGGCTCATTCCGTGTGTGTGTGTGTGTGTGTGTGTGTGTGTGTGTGTGTGTGTGTGTGTGTGTGTGTGTGTGTGTGTGATAGGAGTTGGGGTGAGGTTTAAATGCCGATTGGAGTAGGTCACTGAGACCCGGGACCCAGCATCTTCCTAAGCTGCTTTCAGCCACACTGGAATCCATCCATCCCAATATCCTCCATTTCTGATCCCCCCCCCCACACACACACACCACCCCTACCACCACCAGACATACACTTACATACGCACACTTCAGCTACACTCTTCTGCTTTTCGTTTTTCCATCATTCTTCTTTGTTATGTCTTTGATCTATGCTTCTCCTGTCCCTTCTCTTCCTCTCCTCTCCTCTCCTCACTCCTCTCCTCACTCCTCTCCCCTTTCCTCGCTCCTCTCCATTTCTAGCGGTCATGGAAATTAGACTGTAGAAGTCTTTGATTCTCTGTGTCTTACACCGCCTCGGGGTCAGGCCCTCTTATCTCCGAGAGAAAGAGAGACGGAGACAGAAAGGAAGAGGCTGGAGATGAAAAGGGGGCAAGAGGTAGAGAGGTGTAAAGAAAGGTAGAAAAAGCAGAGACAGGGATTTGTAGACAGATACACTGGAAGAGGACACGGTGAATGGGGGAAGATATGTCAAGAAATGGCCTGAGAAAGAGAGAGAGAGAGAGAGAGAGAGCAAAGCTAAACAAAACTTGAGCAAAAAAACAGTAAAACGGAGAGACAGAAGCACAGAGCGCTGACAGATGACAGAGGCAGTAAGAGGTGGAGATGGGTAGACAGCTTTCAGCCAATATGAGTTTCTTGAGGGATAGTATTTTTGGATTGAAGCTTCAGATAAGCTGATTTTGCGCTCATATTCAATCTGCTTTAATGTGGCCATTTGTGCACCAAAAAGGGGGGGGGGTTACAAAGTAGAAAATATCATTTATACAATAACGGGGGCTGAAAGTGTCCGCTGAAACCAATTGTAAATAGTGTAAATCATTTTAGTTGGGTCAGCAAGACTGTGACACAAGGTGGAGCAGGTTTCACTGCATGCTGAGACTGAGACTGATCGCCCTGAGGCTTTTGGGTAAAACCACATATCTTTGGTTTTATGCGCAATTCATATTAAAGTTGATACAGAAAAACATCATACAAGCCATAGTTGGATATTTGTGGAATGAGGAAGGAAAAAAAGACGTAAAGAGGGACGCGTGGCTAAAATCAAGTCGGACCGGTAGAGAGAGGGAGCAATGCATGGAAGGTGATAGCGATAAGTAAAATGGGACACAGAGGTGGGAGAGGTAGAGAGTGGGAGAGAGGAGGTAAATGGGGAGAGGGACAGATACAGAGATATGACAGAGATGGGGAGAAAAAGGGGGCTGTAGGGAGAGCTGTGAATATTTAACTTTGTTTAGTTTTCCGTTTGGGCCCTTGGCTCTTATTCTCCTCTGAGGCCTCCTGATCGCCCACAGGTTACTGATGGCAGGAGACGTCTGAGTGAGTGACTGAGAGTGTGTGAGTGTGTGTGTGTGTGTGAGAGAGAGAGAGAGTGTGTGTGGGAAGGAAGAATTTGGTGTAAAACATCCATTTGGAAGTTAAAAAGCTTCCTTTATTAAACTAGAATGAAATCTTTTTGTGTTTGTAGATTTCACCATGGCCTTCAGTAACTGTCACTTTTCAACACAGTGCATCTTAATAACTTGTGTGTGTGTGTTTCTGAGTGCATGTGAGGAAAGCACTGAGTGGGGTTATTAAATGTTCATGTGCAGAATTATGGGCCTAATCATTGAAGGTGTCTTGGTGTATGATTTTGCAAAAACTAATAATGCACCTCATTACCAAGCAACCATACAGCAAAACTGCTCATAATATATTTTAATGTGTTTATTAAGGCAAGGTCTCATTATTCAAAGTAATTCATTTTAAAACCTTTCAGCCTTAACCAGCCTTCGAAAACTGTTTGAACCCGTTTCTTTCAGATAAGTCCAGGCCTGGCAGAAGTTTGAACATCTTTTTGATGCTTTTAGAAATATCGATGGTGAAAACCCATGAAAGCGCTCTCAAACTCCTCTCTGACATCTCTTCTCAATCCGTTATCCCAACAGGCCTCGACTGGCCCCACCCCAAGATGACGTCCCCCAAAAACAAAGCCAAGAAGAAACCGCCGAAAGACAGCATGACACTGTTGCCATGCTTTTATTTTGTAGAGGTATGTGTAGATTGGATGTATTGATAGATCACCTTTTTGATATAACAACGCTTGGTCAACATGACTCACTGTATTTACTGAATCACTATGTGAATGACTCGTTTTATAGACTCATAACCATAGTGAGTGCTTCGTGTTGATTGCATCTGGATGCATCGACCTCTGCTGAAGGCAGAGTTTGCTGTTTTTCTAAAGCAAATATTACGGTGTCATCACTTTCTTTATTGCCTGCGTGTGTGTGTGTATGTGTTTGTGTATTTGGGGGTGTGTATTTATTGTGGTAAGAGCTGAGATAAAACGTTGGATGAATCACCTCTTTCCAAGCAAATATTAAATGCTAGTCACTCTGCTTCGTCCTTGTCCTTGTGTCGGAGTGTGTGTGTGTGTGTGTGTGTGTGTGTGTGTGTGTGTGTGTGTGTGTATATGGCTGTCTAGCTCCCCATCGTCCTATCCTCTTTGGTGTCCCTGTACTTCCTGGAGCTGACAGATGTGCTGTCCCCTGCGATGGTGGGCTTCCGTTGCCATGACCGTGACCTCTCCATGCCCTACGTAGAGACGGGCGATGAGCTCATCCCGCTGTTGATGCTTCTGAGTTTGGCCTTCGCTGGCCCTGCGGCGTCCGTAAGTTAATTACACACACGTGCGGGTCGTTGATGGGGATTGCAATATGAAGGAAAGTTTAAAGGATTTCTTCGTTGTTACCCGGTCCCTAGAATACTTTACTTCAATTCATGGCTCAGTATGGCATTAAGCAGCAACTTTGATGATGGTTGTAATGGTACCATGAATTTTAATTTGTGTACTGTAATTATTATAAAGAAATTAAGTCAAACCACTCGACATCCTGAAAGCCATAGCGGATAAATGCCTACAGTGAATGCGTAAGAGAGTAATGCCAGTGTGTAGTTGTGGAAATATTCAGTCAGAAAAAATTCTCAATAGTGCGTACAAAAATTGTCATAACTGGAAAAGGCATTACCAGAAAGAAGAAAGTTCTAGTGACTGGTCTGTCAAATGTTTAGCAGCATTCATGATCATCAATTATTATAATTGGCCGTTTAGGGTAAAAGAAAAACACCTATCCCTTCATCATTGCTTAAAAAAAGCCACTTTAGCTAAACAGTTAGCAATTATCTGCATGTTTACACATCCAGCTCACACAGAGGAATACTAACATTAATTAACATTAACATTAACCTAATAAATGTCGGTGTAATATCTGCTGTCATTTTCACTCTGATTTGATCTCCACAAACTCCTGAGAAAAACACCATGAGCTTTAGCTCACTTGGTGACTGACTTTCTTCACTAGCTATTCGCTAACATTGGTAAAACAACAATTTGGTACTGGGCGGGAAGCATACATTTGGCTTATCAGATCTTTTTTACTGAAAACAAATGCCGCTGCTGAAAAATGGAGTGATGAGAGCAGAATTTTCAGTCTGTACCAGCAAAACGATAAGCTACACAAAGCTAAAAAGCTTGTTGGGTAATAATTCCCTGTGGATTTGTCACGGAGCAGCATCTGATCCATCGTTCATGTAAAAATGTTGAATAGGTTTATAGGAGCAAAATCGTCTCATATTGGAGTCACTAAGATACAATCTTATCACAGAGGATCAGGGGTCTAATGTGTGTCTGGGGGTTTTGGGGGAGGGGGAGGGTAATAGTGCTACACACATACATCACACGGTAACACTCGCGTACACGCACAAATACATAAACGTGCAGCTTCTCGAACACTCGCAAAGCAAATTCAATCTCCCCTCAGAAATGTAGAATCAATGGACACATTGATAAATACACACCTGACATTCCAATACACACCATCAAACACAACCACACGTCCACGTGCAGTCAATACACAAACACACACACACACACACACACACACACACACACACACACACACACACACACACACACACACACACACACACACACACACACACACACACACTAATCCATCAGCAGCATGGAAACGAGCACTTCTCTCCCACCCTCATCTATCACTCTGATTGGAAGTGATCACTATTCGATAGCACCTTGCCTCCATTCTCTCGCCACAGCTCTCTCTCTCCGTAGATCGCGATCACAGACACAGACAGATATCTGAAATTGCACTTTTACCCTTTTTCCTCTCGGTCCATTTTCTCTTTGTTCTTTTTTTATATATATTTCCCTCTTGTGCCTTATCAGAACATGCAACATCACAAACACAGCACATTCAGAAATTATCTCCTTTCCACTCCTTTACATACATCTTTTTCTTACTTTTAACCTCCTTCTCGCCCTCTGTCTATAGATAATGATGGGGGAGGGACTGATGTACTGTATGCAGTCCAAGCTGAAGAGCTGTCCCAAGTCTGAGAGCAGCATCAACGCTGGAGGCTGCAGCTTCAACTCCTTCCTACGCAGAACTGTGCGCTTTGTCGGTATGGACAAGTTAACTTCCACTTCTTCCTTTTTTTTTCCCCCGGAGGAGGGGGCGGGAGTTAAGGTCACATTCTAATCCGCAGTGTGTAACAGCTGGTGAATAGGGTTAGGGTGTGTTCAGATTGCGTTGCAGCTTTTAGAGGGTCTCATTAACCACATGGCTTATCATATTGAATCATTTTCCCATTGATGCTCTTTCACTTAGAGATGAAGAGGCCTCTAAAACTGCATTTATATCACATTATCCAAAACAAACACCTCACAGAGGTGATGCCCGATGCAGTGTATTTAAGTTAATTGGTAACGGCATCGCAAGAGGCTCAAATGTGGTATTTCAGAAATGGTTACACACAATGCAGTATGTTCCATGTCTACTTTTCCTTATTCACTCTCCAAATAACTAAAATGAATTATGCATATGACCTTCAAAGTAAGGTTGTTGTACCCAGGTATATTTTGGTCTTAGCTTACCAACAGCATTAAGATTGTAAAGAACCGTCTTGTATTAATAGTTAAGAATAAAAAGTTGTTTTTAAGATGGAAATCAGTTTTGGTTTGGACAAATCATTGCACTCATCGGCTGTGCCCTGAACTTTATTCCACATTTTAGAGTGGGGAAATAAGCTAATTACATGGATTAAATGAAGGGTGACGTGAAATGAAATAGGCATGATGGAATTCTTCTCAGGAAATATCCTGAGGCGGACTTTGAGCTTTGAAGTGAAAAGTGTAATTAATTCACCTTGCCAAATTTCACTGTCTGCGGAAAAGCTTCATAATGTAACAAACCGAAGACTTGTGTAGTGTCACTTCAGGTTGTCAATGTGCTCAATGTGAGGAAGCCACCGGGGGCTTTTAGTTGCATTTTACTGAGGCTGCCTTACCGTCTCTGTCTCTTACCTTTCTCTCCCCCAAGGTGTTCATGTGTTTGGTCTCCTGGCAACAGCCTTGGTGACAGGTGTCATCCAGTTAGCTACAGGTTACCACGCCCCTTTCTTCCTCACCGTCTGCCAGCCCAATTACACGGCCCCAGGAGTGTCATGTGACAACAACGCCTACATCACGCAGGACATCTGCATGGGGAAAGACCAGTATGCCATCATGTCAGCTAGGTAAGACATACACTTATGTTCAGAGATGAAAAGGAGCACACAGATGGATATACAGAATGTCTCCATCTGCCTGAACCAAATTTGCATCCTCATATAAAAAAATAACAGAAAACATACGAAGATGCAAAATTCATTACGATAAATTGTCAGTTTATTAGTGCAGGATCTTAACTGTATGCTTCTCTGCTCTCTTGCTAGCTTTTCTGATGCTATCTGATAAAAATACAGCAATATTTGGGAGCTTCGTTCACTAGCTGATGCACAAAACCATTTACAAACCTACCATATGCCTGCAGTCGATGCTCTGCTCATACAAATATACTGTATGCTTTATCAGAAATTGCTACAGAACACATTGCGTTACGATTATAAAAGGATTTACAGAGGTTGCACAGTATACAGCATAATGCTACACATCACTATCTTACAGGAATATATGCAAACTACAAGGCTAGGAGTTATCAAAACTAATTTGCATTTGAATAGGATTACAGGAGATTTAAACAGCTAAGGAGTGAAACTGTTGTTGTAACTGTTGGGTTTTTAAAATAATGCAATATTTGCTTATGAAATGAAATGCTTCTTAGAAAAGTTAAGTGTTTATTTGTACAACAAGACTAACAATGCCCTTACAAATTCTCATTGTGCCCAGCTGCAATGTTTCACTTGCAAAAGTTTTGCTTGTTAACATCGTCTTTAGCACCACAGCGTGTAAGACAGACATAGGTCAGACATAAAAAACTCCAGCGTATGGGCCTTAGACAGGTAGACGTATTAGACAGGCGTAATAAGTGCTTACAGACAGAAAAGATTACAGCTATATTTAGTTGATACAGGGATAATCCTACAAATGCACATTTATACTTGTAAGGTCCCTAATTGAAAAAGATTCTCTAGCTCCTATCCTTAAAGGTATTTATAGTTTAACAATTTTGGATAACACACTTATTTGCCTTCTGGTTTCTGATTCCAAATATAAGGCTACATCCATCTGAGGTTAATTCAATCTGTACAAAAACCAAAAATGACAATTAGCCAATTTTACGAGGTGCCGGGCTATTCAGTCAGGAGCAGTTGCTAGAAAACCAGCCCCAACAAGAAATAGTCTGTCAAATAACCCCCTATAAAACCACAACATGTTGTTTTTACACTTGGGTTTCTGTAGGTTTTGAAATTGAGTTTATGTGTCGTTAACATACTGTTGAACAGACAGAGCCAGACTAGTCACTTCCACGGTCCCAGCCTTTGTGCTAAGCTAACCAGTTGCTGGCTGTAGCCTTATTTTCAACTGACAGGAATAAGAGTGGTAACAATGTTCTCATCTAAGCCTCAGCAAACAGATGCAAATAAGCATATTTCCCAAAATGTTTAACTATTGCTGTAACAAACACAGCTAAATATCTAACCCCAACAATTAGCATAAACTTGTAATTCAAATTTTTCAAAAAGAGCTTTAGACTGTGTGTGTCTAAGGTAAACACTGTAGTGCAAGACACCAGGATAAACACACTCACACACAGAGGCATATTAAATGAGATTTTCTTAACTTTAAATTAGCAGCTTTGACCTCAAACCACTCATTCATTCTCCCCTAATGTCCCCATTAATGCCCTATGGTATTCCGTTTGTGTTTATTTAATGCTCACATCCAAGGACGCACACTCAGTTTGACAAACACAGTCGGGCATGCACACGAGTTTTAATGTCAAACACGATCCTGACATCGCAAACAACAAGAGCAACCATGACAGTTTTATTCCAAATTCACACAGCTGTTATTTCAGAAAAACACAAATCTCTTTCTCTCCCTGCCTTTCATACCTAACTCTCCCCCTTTCTCCCCTCAGGAAAACATTTCCATCCCAGCATGCAACACTCTCTGGCTTCGCTGCTGTCTATATCTCCGTAAGCACTTCCTGGGTCTTACTTGCCTCCTGTGTTTGTGTAACTTGTGTATGATGTATTTGCATGTTGCGTATGTGTTTGTGCATGCTATGTGGTCGTCAATGGTAACCAGTTTGTTTTTATATTTGGGCAAAACTTTTCTAGTTTTTCTTTATACTTTGGTTGTTTCTATAGATGATATTCTTTACCTTTCTGTTAAAATATGTGTTCATGATGAACTATCCAGATGCTTTTCTCTGCATTGTTAACCAACATTGCTGCTGGCAACATTAAATTAGGTTCCTGCATATCAGAGGATTTTTCGCTGGGATGAAATCACTGTCACCTCATACATAAGTCACAATTGCGTTACCATGTTTACTCACTGAGAGATTTCCGGATTGCAAATGGTCCTCAGGCCAAAGAGCCATCTAAATCTCATATTAAAGAACATAACATGAAATGTCTTTTGAGGTCAGACTTCAGTGTTCATTGTTACATCCTTGTGGGTGGCTTTCTGCAATTCCGCAGTCCAGTGCTGAGAGCAGCAGTATGTGAACTGTATGGCAAAGTAGCACTGTCATTTTTCCAGGAGGTAACACCCTCCCACACACACACACACACACACACACACACACGCACACAAACCACCAATGGCTATAGTGAGCTACTGGCCATATCACTGCTGCCTCACTGAGCCCAGTGTGTGCTCATTAAAGCTCACTAGGCAGATTTCTGATCAGAGAGAAAAGGCAGGAGAGGATCAGGAAAGCAGCTGTTTGTGTTGCTATGATTACAAAATGTTGTGTGATCAAACACTGTGATGTCAGATCTTTCTTTTTTTTTTTCCCTCGCTGTTCTTTACTGCTCGCGACACAGACATTTATTTATTGTATTCAGTCTCAAATCCCTTTGTTGAACATTACAATGAGGCGTATTTCCACTTGTTTCCTTTTCAGAAATTTACTGAAACTAAGCAGATAAAGCAGATCACTTCACAAAGCAGACACTTGATTCAAAGGTGTTGATAAAATTTGAATTGCATTAAAAATAACGGAAATGTCACCCTACTGACAGATTTTTTTTTTCTCTCCCTCTTGCTTCAAGGATTTTTAGGCTCAGTACTAGATGGACAAGCTTGTTAGAATGGATATTTTTGCAAAAACTGCTTTTCTGTCACTCAGCTGTCCTCCACTTTATATAATCGAAATATGGAGTGCATGCAAAGAATGTGAATGCAACTGTAAATATATTCTTTCCCCGTCTGACTCTTCCTGCTCTCTCTCTCTCTCCGTTCTGTGTTACTGTCAAAGCATATTCATCTTAATGACCTAGTTAACCTCATATGAGGCAGACAGTTTTCATCGAGGTGGTATCATTTTCCTCCAGAAATTTCATGGAACAATAAGAAATATCTTCTGATATGACATTTTACTTTTCTCAAGATGTTTTAATTACCTGAACAGAAATCCTCTTTTTTGAGTGTTAGATTAGAGGATATATACCACTATACCACTCTCATATGTTTAATATGAAGCTAAAGCCAGTAGCCAGTTAGCTTAGCTAAGCATAAAGACGGGAATCAAGGGGAAACAGCTAGCCTGGTAATAAAATCCACCTACCAGCATCTAAAACTCACTAAATAACTTGTACCTAAATAACTGAGCAGATTGACCTGGAGGATTTTCATCACTGCAACGTTTCCAGGAATTCAGCAGAAGCTTCAAGAAATCACTGCACATGGACAAAAAATAATCCTGCTCCCTAAAATCACATCTTGTCATTTTCACAGTGCAGTTTTTGTACAAAGTGCATAAAAATATTGAGATATAACATGGATTTCTTTCTTTATGAGCGAGGCTAGCTGTTTCCCTCTGCTTACAGTCTTTATGCTAAGCTAAGATAACAATTTCCTGGCCAGATATGAGTGGTCCCAATATTATCATCTAAGCATATTCCTGAAAATGTCAAACAATTGATTTCATGACAAAATTTAAAATGCATGGGATGACATTTGCCATTTATTTAATTAACCCCTCTATACTGTGATTGTCTTTGTGCGGATCAGGTGAAACCTGTGCTGCAGTGTGTCATAATACCTCATAATCTCCAACCCAGTCTCCATATGCCTAAACTGTCTTTTGCTCATTTATGTGTACATCTGTCTCCGCAGATGTATTTTAATGCCAGCATCAGCAGCACAACCAAACTGCTGAAGCCACTCCTGGTGTTTGCTTTCTGCATGGCGGCAGGGCTCGCCGGGCTGACGCAGATCACTCAGCACCGCAGTCACCCAATAGACGTCTACGTGGGATACCTCATAGGAGCCGGCGTCGGCGTCTACCTGGTCAGTAAAACGAAGTGCACAAGAGTGTGCACAACAAGCGTAACGAGATTAATCAGTCTTGTTGAGTTCTGTGCTAAAATCTGTCTGCAAAATGTATTAAAGGGCTTAATTTATTTTGCCGTTTTCATGATAATTATTCCTTTTCATGATGGTGTAACTCGCTGAAAGACATTTGAACAAGTAAAATCCTCCTGAAATGGATGTCCTATTTCAGGGTTTAGTTTGGTAAATGAGTGCCAGCATATGTTTGCATGTATTTAAGGATTTGTTTTGTCCCGAGGCAGCAGTTAGCAGTTAGCAGTCGGCATGCAGCATGCAGCATGGTGGGAATGACAGAATACACATAAATAGATTTCTTTTTTTTTTTAACTAAATAAAGTGGTTTCGTTGTGTTTGCTGGGACTGAATTGTCTCATTGTATTATTCTAACACTATCACAGCATGTGCTAACAAATTATCCTTTTTTTTTCCATCAACTCTCCTCACCGTGCCGCTTCCATACTTTTCTCTCCCAGCAGTTTTTTTTGGCAGGCTATATATAGCCTTTTCTATTAAGGAGGGAAGAGGGAGAGAATGAATAATCCGATAAGAATTCTCTGGAACAATTTCACACTTCGTTTTAAGAAAACTTGTCGTTGCCATTTTCCACGCTTCCCTCCTCCTCTCACTCTTCCTCTCTCGTCTTTCACTTTTTAAGAGCTGGAGCATTTCTTCCCGTCATTAAAGGATGAATTCTGAGAGAGGGGGGAAGAGAGTGATTCATGCTGACCTCAGACTAAACAGGCGGAAGAAGGAGAGATGCTTATTCATGCACTTGCTCCCCACTAATAGGAATATCAATTTTTTCCTTCCCAAAGATTAAAGAAAATACATTTTCACGCTTCAGTGTTTATTTAACATGCCTGGTACTTCTATCTCCTTCATTCATTTCTCCACCTCCCTGTGTCCCTCTGTCCTCTGTTAGGCCGTGTATGCAGTGGGAAACTTCAAATCATCAGAAGAAGATGCTCCCTCCTTACATAGACTCGCCCCAGCTCAGCAGAAGGACAGCCTGAGGGTGCTGAGCCAGCGGAGTCATGACTCCCTGTACAGGAAGACTCCCAGGGTGTCGGAGAGCAGAGAGGAGCTGGGGGCAGGGCTGGGATCTGGGGCCCGGAGTAAGGTGAGGAGGGAGAAGGCGTCCCTGGCTTCACTCAAGCGAGCAAGCGCTGATGTGGAGCTCCTGGCAACCCGGGGTCCCATGGGCAAGGAAACCATGGTAACCTTCAGCAACACATTGCCCCGAGTTGCAAACGGCAACAGCCCCATCTCTCCCTCAGAGGAGCCGGTTACCACGCAGCGCCACATGACCTTCCACGTGCCATTTGACCCCCAGAGGTCTCGACAGCTGGTATCAGAGTGGAAGCAGCGCTCGCTGGAGCTCCGCAGCCAGAGCTCACGAGACGAGGAGGAGGGAACTGATGAGAGAGATGGAGTAGATGAAGGAGGAGGAGGAGCAGCAGCAGGAGAAGGAGGAGACCAGGGGATGCCATCCTCTCTGTATCCCACGGTGCAAGCCAACAAGGGCACCGCCACACCAACTGGAGCCAGGATGGTGGTGGCACCCCCACTGGTTCACATCCCAGAGGAGGCCTCTCGGCCACCGCCTGTCTCCCCGAAGAGCGCTAAAACCCGTGCCAAGTGGCTGTCACTCACAGAGGGGGGAGCGGTGAAAGAGCCGGGAACAGGGCCCATCGCGGTGTCGACTCCCCGCGTGCCCAACACGCAGCCAAACCAGCCGCCAAGCCAGCAAAGAGTCACTCAGGTGAGGTGGAGATTAGAAAATGAGTGCTTGTAAATCATTCTAACATTATTTTGATCAGTAATGTTTCTTACTTTAATTTCAGCTGGCATGTGGCCAGGTCGGAAATTTAACAGCTGTCAGACTCTGTATGAACGACACACCTGATTTATTTTGTTGGTAAAGTCAAAACAGAACAGCACGGGTGGAGGCAATTTCACTGATTAGTTTCCCTCTGACAAGGGTTCAAACACTTATTATAATTTGCAGTTAAACCTTATTGAAATGTCCTTGAGGGATATTAAATATGTTACATTACACTTTACAATGTTTACTGTGATAAAAGTCCCTGTATTTGGCAGCTTTGCGATAAAAATTAGCTGATTTCAATAGTAGGTGCTTGTCTGTTTGCATACTGATGAGATTTTCTGTCCTGCAGGTGATAGCTATGTCAAAGCAGCAGGGTCATGGGCCCATCACCTCATCCACTAAGACATCAGAGGGTGGCTCCTCCTCCGGCGGCGGGTCCAACTGCTCAGAGTCGCCCTACTACAGGATCCCGTCTGATCGAGACAGCTGCACCGGGAGCAACCCAGGAAGCATCGCCGGAAGCGGGAGCATCGTCACCATCGACGCTCACGCCCCTCACCACCCAGTGGTGCGTGTGTCGGCCAGTAACGGCAAGCCGTGGGAGTGGAGGAACACCATCAGCGGGAACATGATGACCGCTGACACAGCAGGGGACAAACACCGCGTAGCGCTGCAGCGACAGGACAATATCAGTCACTACCGGGATTACCGGACACTCCCAGTGAAATCAGACTCGCTCTGCTCCTCCTCGGCCAGCGGCAGCGCTGAGGGAGGAGCGGAGCTGCCCCCCCCGCCTCTCCCCACCTCCTCCTCCCCCCTGCCTCCCCCACCTCAGCTGTCGTCATCTCCTCTCCCGCCGCCACCTCCTCACTCCTCTTCTTCCCCGCTGCCTCTCCCTCCTCACCCCTGCTCCTCTCCAATGCCTCCTCCTCTCCCTCACCCTCATATGCTTCCACCTCCTCACCCATCCTCTCAGATGTCCCCACCTCCTATCCCATCATCCTCTCAAATGCCCCCACCTCCTCACCCATCTTCCTCCCACATGCCCCCGCCTCCTCACCCATCTATCTGTCAAATGCCCCCACCTCCTCACCCATCTTCCTCCATGCCGCCACCCCCTCACCCGTCCTGCTCCAGCATGCTCCCCCCTCCTCCCCACCCCGATCTACTGATGGATGGCCACAGCCAGACATTGTCCCGCTCCTCCACCCTGCCTCGCCGGCCTTCCGTCTCCGCCCGCAGCCACGCTGAGCAGGAGCACTATTACAAGGCCATGCAGAACGAGAGGATGTTATAGTAAAGGGGGGAAGACTACGGACATCATTGCCATATAAATGATTGTACTTCAGAAGACTCAACTAAAAGAGACAGTGAAAAAAGTGGGTTGTGGCAGGTGAAAAGAGATTTATTACTTTCAAAAATTGACAAAAAAAAAAAAGGTTTGGAGACACTAAATCCAGGAAAGCCGCTTCATTCAAAATGCTGGAAATGAGGCGAGTGCAGGGGTGAAGGACTGTGGGGAGGTCTGGCAGCTCACACACTCAGCAGGGGACCTGGTTTTTACCCTGCTCACACGTACTGCCCACAGCGCTGGCTCAACGGCCCTGACTGGGAAAGGAAACGGGCTGGACGAGGGAAGAAAGAGAAAGTCAAAAGAGAGCGGGGTGAAGAATTAAAATCCCTACTTCACCTCTAGTTTTTAACACGCGCATCCTCCGTGTTCCTTTATGACACATTCAAAGAAGGAAGGGAAGAAGTTGCAGCTGAGAGAGCGATATCACAATGAACGGTCTGGGATTTGCTAAATCAAGTTTCCCTTGAGAGGAGGCGGATAAGACTGAGAAAACAAAACAACTACAGGCAATACTAGCTTTCCTTAAACTAGTGCAGCTGTTCGAGCCTGCCAACCCTTACACACAGAGAATTTGTTCTCCCAACACATTCTTCAAAAGCACCCAAAAGGTATGAATAAGGAAATGCAATAATGTGTACTTCAGCTACAGGTTCAAGAGTATTAACTACAACCCACAAAAGCATGAGTCTCTTTACCCCTTCTGAATAAACACACTCCGAATGGGGAATTTTCTGTTTGATGCCAAGCAAATCTATAAGTATCCACCCGAAAGAGCCGGCTTAGGAAGCGTTGCTTCTGGGCGGGGTGCGGGAAGGGAGGAGGGGTGGGTATAAGGAGGATCACGCACAGTTGGGCACCCCTATACAGACGTCACTGAATGGATTACTGTTGTAAACATGAGAGGCGGTGGAACGGAAAGCGAATTTTTCCTCAAGTGAAGAGGCTGGCTGCGCCGCACAGCACAGCACAGCGAGCCAGGCAGCCAGTCTGTCTTTGCTATGTGTGTGCAAACCTGCCACGGAGCCTCAAGCGGCACTAAGGAGATTAACGTTTGTTTATCAAACCATGCTAGCACACTCTTCCCTCTGTCGCCCTTCGCATTTGGCCCCTTTGGCGAATCACAATGGCGATGGGAACGCTAACGGGAAGCCGCCCAGCCAGTAGCGCAGCCTGACATCACGACCAACATCCACATTGGCTCAAGCAGGTGGTGTTTGGATGCGGCTAACTGGCTTGTTGCTACCAGTATGTTTATACCTGTTAGCATTTCAAAGATTGTGGTAACACTTTCTAACAACGTATACTTGACAAGGGGTTTAGAAGTTGTTGATTTGTTTATAATTGTTTATTTATACTTTATAGATCAATAATAAGACGCTCTTAAGAGGAACTTGTTCAAATTGTGTCAGGTTGTAAAAACATCCACGTATTGTGTAGCTGTTTGATTTATGAGGAAGAGCTTTGTAGGAAGTTAGTAATATTTCATCCATCCATCCATTGCCGGGACCCGCTGATGCTTTGCAGCGTCATAAGGGATTACCAGTCTATCACCCTTTATTAAGTATGGCTTATTAGGAAGTGATACCAAGTTTTTTAGTTCTTCTTTGTTACATAAATAAACTAAACTACTAAATAAACTGCAGTAGCTTTCAAACTGCATCACAAGGTCTTCATCAGCAGATGTATATTTTTGCTCAGTCACCATGGAGCTGTAGATGAACAATGGAGAAATTATATCCTCTGACACAGATCATGTGATGCAGTGAAAAGCCCCAGCTCAACCAAGTAAGCGGATCTTGAATTGAAACTGTTTTGTTTGCTGTTCCAAAAGTCAACAATGAACTGTAAACCAAAAAAAAGTTTAAATTTAGTTCAGTCATTCTCTAAAAAATGCAAGTCGCCGAAACGACAGAAAATTAAATGACAACAGTTTTGGTGGCTGATAGCTGCTCATGGTCAGCTCAAAGCTCATAATGAGTCATTTATCAAATGAAAATGCTTCACAAATATGACAAATTGCTGCTTTCTCAGAAGAATTGTAATAAGTTTTCTCCATTTTCTAACATTTTCAGTCAAAACGATTACTAATTAATTATAAAATTAATTTAATGGTTCATTCTAATAAGCTACTGCAGATAAAAAGCAGTTGCAGACCCAAGAAATACACTTTCATCTGACTTCTACTGCAAGTGCGTGTTCTTCCTGCCCTCCCCTGTATTTATACTATGTTGTATAGAGTCGTCATCCGGTATCTATCACTTCATGCGTCCCAGTTTTTTTCTATCAGAGAATATTCCATCCAACAACAAGAAGTGCTTTATTTTAGATCATACTTTGATCATATTCTAATGAAAAATACTGGTTTCCACCCATGTAGAACATCTGAAAGATATGTAAACCAGTTTTGTAAAGTTGTGCTAGGAGGAGGCTGCGTTAAATGGAACAACAAGTTGTATTTTGTAGTGGAGCTCCTCAGACGAGGAGCTGGTAGATAACGTTGCTTGTCAGTTTGTGCTGCATGTGTGTACGAACGTGTTTTTAAAAAACTAAAAAAAAAAAACTAAAAAAAAAACAACTTTATTTCTGTGCTTCAAGTCTGCACCGTTACCTTTGACAGACAAACATGCTGCATTTTTCAGTGCTGGTGATTATCGTACTACTTTCCCCCATTTTGACTGTAAAAATACTTGATATTACCTAATATTATTAATACCATTATTATTCTGCAGTCCTTTTTATGGGCTAATGTTTTCTATCTGTGGTGATGTGTAATATTATTAACCTCATTGAATAAAAAAATGAAGACTTCTTAACTTTTGTTTCATCTCGTGTTACTGAGCAGTAGCAGGTGGACGTATAGGGTCGTTGCTGGCGCTGCTTCTTTACTACCACTCTAATGAAAAGGATCTTCTCCATTGATTCCTGGGTTATGAGTACTACTTTCATGCTCATTGATACTGTACACTCGCACACACTCACACAAGCACAAATGCACACGCCCAGACGGATACAGCACATGCACATTTGCAGTGCAACATTTGCTTCTTTCCTGTGGGCTAGTGTTAGGTTTCAATAATGAATTCTGCTGGAATGTTGGTCAATCCCAAATGACCTGCAGGGGAGGCAGCAAGCATTGGCTGAGACCAATATGTGCGTGTGGAAAGAAGTGTGGAAATGTGTGCTTTTCAACACAAAATTTATTTTCTGCACATGGCTGTTGTCTGGTAAACAAAAATGTCTTTTTGTTTATTCATATATAAATTATTGCGTGATTCATGTGCATTACTGTGGATGATTTGTGCACATCTATAAAAATAGTGCACAGTCCAGAAGCAGTGAAGCTTTCCATCTTTCCATTTAGATACGTGTCATTTTTCTATCTTATATGCATGTTAGATTGTTTGTTTCAGCGTGTATGCATATGGGTGTGTGAGTGTGTCCAGTGCTGTGGAGCACTGAGCTGTGTGATGAGGCCGTAGAGGCAGTGGGGGTGCAGATGGTGTACTGAGGCCTGAGGACAGTCAGCCTGTCCATGACTCACACTCAGCAAGCCAGCAACTTGCTCTCTCCCTCTGCCATCGCACTCTTTCCTTGGTGGCCCAGAAACTACAATACAACAAGTGTGTGTGTGTGTGTGTGTGTGTGTGTGTGTGTGTGTGTGTGTGTGTGTGTGTGTGTGTGTGTGTGTGTGTGTGTGTGTGACTGCGGGAGGCAACAGAAAATGCGGACTGAGCTGTCTGTATGCATGTGTCTATTTTTGTGACTGTGTGCCTGTGTATATGCCGATATCTGTGTGTGTGTGTGTGTGTGTGTGTATGTGTGTGTGTGTGTGTGTGTGTGTGTGTGTGTGTGTGTGTGACGGTGAGAGCGGCTGTCCGGTTGAAGCTGCTGACATCCTTTTCAGGACAGATTTACCACTGCAGAACAGCACAAAAGCCTTTTGTCCACAGCTCCACTTTTATCTTACTCACTTTGTCACTATCGTTCTACCTACTGCCATCTCACTCGGCTCCTCGAGAACCTTTACACATGGAGGAAGGGGATTTGGGGCTTTGGAGCTTATATCCTGATTTTCTCAGTTTCTTGAATGAGGGATTAGGATTGAAAAGGGTCACAGGAATCGCTTTACTTTCAGTCTGATCGATGTAGGGGGTCGTTTTTCTTAAAAATCAAATATTGATCCCCTATTTTCTCTTAGCATGAAAAGGTTGTCACATTCAAAGAATTGCTTTCTGGTTAGCATACATAGGGACTGACTATATTAACAGTGGACCTCAGCCATTAAAGAGTTCATTCTCTATCAGGGTTCATTGCTGAAATGGTTGAAGAACCCCTGTTTAACAACCCTCTTGAAGGGCTTCACAAATTATAAAAAGGAAACCAAAGTGATGGGTTCATATTCCCATGGTGTAACGGTTGTTAAAATCTTCAGCTTGAGATCTACAGTAAATTAAATTTAGTCTCAAAAGGGCTTATTAAAGCATGTCAGAAATCCTGTCATTTGTCGACCCACCAGACACAGACCTTGTAGTGAGCTCTTTTGGATCCCAAATGATAACCAGCCTTAATGTGCCAGTCAGCGTCTACCGCCACAGCTAGAGGCAAAGACTGACATTTCCAGGAGTCTGGCTTCACTGATGCAGTAGCAGTATTTTCAAAGCTTGTTTCTACTTGGAGGTCCAGGAAAATAAAATCCTTTTTTTTTTTCTTTTTTTTTTTTTATGTACATTTCATCAGTGTGACCAAAATATAGATGGTGATAAATGTCTAACCACCATATCAATTACACTGTTACAGCCCAGCCGGGAGCCTGATATGTTTATAGCGTATGTCGTCACAAGGCCACTGCAGTTTTACAAGAGCTTGATTTTCAAATAGAATGATTCTCGAGATAGTCTTGACATGGTCCATTTTTATTTTCTTACCTGAACTGAGAGGCCACATGAAAACATAGAAAACAAGACTAAGAGTCTACAGCAATGCTATCACTTGTGTGAGCTGTACTTATAGACGCAGCAGTGCTTTGAGCTAAATGCTAAGACCAGCATGCTAACAGGCACACG